AAAATTATTAATCTAGCTTTAGATTTTTTCCAGTGCACCTGTGCTGACCAGCTGTGGGGTGGAGGCGTAGATGCCCTCCTCCCAGCTCCAATTGGTGACGGACTTCCTTATTTTATCTCTGCACCGTTCTCCCAGTCATGCATTGCAAAAAAATGAAATCTAAATAAGTGCATTTTTTCTTGCATTGAGGAGGAAACTAAGACACTTTGCCAATGGAGCAAGACAATTTACATTTAAAATAAGAAAAAAAACAACTGCATTATCGCTTTTCAAGTCCATTTTATCTTATTATCATATTTTAAGAGTAAAAAATACTATTTTCATTGGCAAATGATTTTATTTACCTGCAAAAATTAAGACTAAATACACTTGATTTAATAAGTTTTTACTTATTTCTAGATCGTTTTTTGCAGTATAGAAGAAATTCATGTAACACTCAGAGAAAGAAACACATTTTATTTTGTTCCAACATTAATGCTAAATATAATTGTTAACTAGGATTATTCACTTTTTAAATAACTTTTTAACATTTCAATTAGATTTTTACCTTTTTTCTTAAAAATCAAAATCTGAATAAGTCATTTTTTCTTCAAATAAGTGCATTTGTTCTTGAATTATGAAGGTAAAAGAGACATTTTGCCAATGGAACAAGATCATTTACACTTAAAATGATCATTTAAATTATTTCAATAGCATTTTATCGAAATATCTTATTTTAAGAGTAAAAATCCTCATTCCATTGGCAAATCATCTCATTAACCTGCTCAAATTAAGGGTAAATACACTTAATTTAACGAATTTTACTTGTTTTTATATAATTTTTTTCAGTGTAGGAAATATATCATTCAAAGCTCATCTTTTACCTCCTCAATCCAAGAACAAATACACTTATTTTAAGAAAAAAAGACTTATCTTGATTTCAATTTTTTGCAGCACTGCAAAAACCATCTAAAAATGAGAAAAAAAAGTCTTAAATGAAGTGTATTTACCATTAATTTGAGCAGATAAATGAGATAGTTTGCCAATGGAATGAGTAATTTTTACTCTTAAAATAAGATAATTAGACCAAATGCACTTGAAATAAGACAATGCAATTGTGTTTTCTTATCTTAAGTGTAAATTGTCTTGTTCCATTGGCAAAATTTATCTTTTATCTCCTCAATCCAAGAAAAAATGCACTTATTTTAAGAAAAAACTTCTTATCTAGCTCTCAATTGTTTCCAGTGTGTAGAAGAAAATCATGAAAAACACGCAGAGAAAGAAACACATTTTATTTTGGTCCAACATAAATGCTGATACTGGCAATGACAGTTTTTAGTTTATAAACCTAAATATAATTGTTAACTAGGATCATTCACTTTGTAAATTACTTTTAAGCATTTAAATTAGATTTTTACCTTTTTTCTTAAAAATAAGTGCATTTGTTCTTAAATTATGAAGGTAAAAGAGACATTTTGCCAATGGAACAAGATCATTTACACTTAAAATAAAAAAAAAATACATTGTCTTATTTCAAGTGCATTTTATCTAAATATCTTATTTTAAGAGCAAAAATCCTCA